CGCGCGAGCGCGCGTACGAGCGCGAGGCGGACGAGTAGCGGGGGGGGGGGGGGAGGGCAAAGAAGGCAAAGGCGCCGTCGTAGCGAGGGATGATGACGAAAGCCAGTCAGCATGCGGTCCAAGGTCTTGGTGCAGCGAGGGTTGGTTGTCGTCTGGGCGCGCGCTCGGACTCACGAGGGATGCCCGTCGGCCTGTACGAAGCCGTGCTGGAAGATCTGCGACGAGAAGGCCTCACACACGCTCCTCGAGACGGCCTTGACGTTGAGGCCCATCTCGTCCTCGAGCCGTGGCCGGTCCGTCATGCGGCACGCGCCATCGATCCACTCCATCACCAGGACCCGCTGCGTACAGAAGTCCTCGTACATCTTTCTGCGAGAGGGGCGGGCAGGCAGGCGCGGAAGAGGCAGTGGCGCATGTGTCAGACCGGTAGGGACCGGCGAAAGTTCCAGACTGGGAGGCCAAGGAGGCAACTCACGGGACGTAGCACGTCTTGCGCACAATCTTTTCCGGATCCGTCTCAATAGCCCTTTTGGCCCTCAGCGAGTTTTCGAGCTCGTGCTTGAACAGGGTCTCTTGCTGCCGATGAGACGGCGAGTGAAAGACACCAGAGGCGGGCGTCGTTGTCAGCCATCGTCCCTCCGATGAAGAGATAAGGGATGAAGGGACTGAGCATGCACCCCTGCCGCGGACTCACCTCGATCTGGTCGCTGATGTACTGCCCGGCAAAGCTGAGGGGCAGCTCAAAGATGCGCTCGTAGAGCAAGAGGAGGATGCGGAAGCTCCAGAGGTCCCACTTTGCGTACTTGCGGATGTTGGGGCGCTGCACCTTGACGGCCACCTCGGGACCCAGGGTGCCCTCGGGCGAACCGGGTGGCGGCTTGAGGCGCGCGCGGTGCACCTGCGCGACCGAGGCGGCGGCGACGGGCGTCTTGTCGAATGCGGCGAATACGTCTTCGGGCTCAGCTCCGAGCTCTGCCACGAGCACCTTGCGCACCTCTTCGTAGGGCAGGCGCTCGGCGTTGTCGAGCAGCTTCGAGAGGCGCTGGTACGGCTTCGGCAGGATGGCGGCCTGGACGCCGATGGCCTGGCCGAGCTTGACGTAGCTGTCGGTGGAGGCCGTAGGGGATGGAAGGAGGCGGACGGGTCAGGGACAGTGAGCGCAGGAACAAGATGAGTCCGTCGTCGCTGGTGCGGATCCACCACTCACAGTCCCTGGTTCTTCTCGCAGACAAACAGGAGCCGATCCGCGCAGCGCTCGTGGAGCGCCGTGATGCTTTCGAGGCTGTCCTTGTCGAAGTTGAATCTGCGGGGCAAAGGCGCCGGGGGAAGAAGAGCGTCGGGCGATATCAGCGAACATGAGCTTGCGTGGTCCTTGGGGGGCCAGCGTGCTGCTCACTTGTAGTCGAGTGCGATCTGGATGCCGGTCCAGGCGGTGAGGAGGTTGCGCTGTGCGGTGCGCGCGTTGAAGTGCTCGTCGATGATGTAGCCCACGCCGGTGGCGATGGAGAGGAGGAGTAACGTGGTCCCGATGCGCCTCTTTCTCGGTGGCGCGCGCTTGGGCTTGTTCTGTTCCGCAGGTGGTGCAGGTGATGGGCCACGGGCGGCTGCGGCCGGAGGGGTGGAGACGGTGGATGCGAGGCGTGCTAGCCTCGGGACGGTGCGGCTGGGAGCGGGTGTGTAGGCCTCGGCGTGCCGCGTGGCAGCGACCAGGGATGGCGATGGGCGGGCGCGAAGGTGTAGCAGCACGCTCGAGCGGGGCGGCGGGCATCGAAAGGGTGGCGGTCGAAACATGGTGGCGGGCAGAGATGGAGCGGGGGGGCTCGAGGAGGCGTGCTGGCGTGTAGCACTGGAGCGGCGCTGCCAACGACCTCGAGATGGAGCTGGGGGAGCAAAAGAGGGTGATGCAGACGGCGGCGGCTGAAGTGGATGCTATCGGATGGGCCGGGAGATGGGGAAGAGGATGAGGTCGACGACTACGACGACGGCGACGACGAGACTACACCGAGTCGAGGGTCCAGAAGAGGAGCCGCCCGCGGAGCTGCCGCGCCTGCCGGCCTGCCTGCGCAAGCTGACAGAGCACCCTCCCCAACCTCCACATCCACCCAGCCGGGCCGGCAGGCAGGCTGAAAGCGTCGTCCGTCTGCCATGGCCCCTACACGCGTCGCCGTCGTCGTCGTCGTCGATCCTGGCCCCTGCCAAGCCTGCCATCCACGCTCATGGTTCAGCCGCCGTCGTCGTCTTCCTGGACTTGCGCTGCTACGGCCATTCCGCCACCGCCATGTCCCGTCGACGTGCCTGCTTCCTCTCCCCAAGCCTCGCGGGCACCACCGAGCGGGCCGGAGTCCTCGTCTTTTCCATCGCAATTAACCGCGTCTTTTCCGTGCCGCCTCTCGTCTCGTCACCCTTTCGCCGCCTCTCCGTCTGCCCCGACCAAGCAGCCCGTCGGTCAGTCAATACCGCCGGGCCGTACGTGCTCGTCCTGCCTCGACCACCCCGTCCCATAAACCTCTTCCATCTCTCTCGACACCCACCACGCCGCCCAGCCCCAGCCTCCGACGCGCGCAACACAGGGCAGAGGATCGTTTTAGGTGCGGAATCAATTGCAGCATGTGCCAGCTATTTTGGGGTGTGTGCGTGGTGGCGATGCCAGGGGTGCGCGGGCGAGGCACCCGCGCAGTATGTGCATAAGGTCAGGTACAGACGCCCATAGAGGAGGTCGTGACGCGTAGGATTGACACGGAGGGCGAAGGTGTGACTAGGACGAGGGCGAGGGCGGCAAGGGGGAGGGAAATAGCATGCGACAGTGTTTTTACTGCTTCTTGGCCTTCAGCCTCCTGATGTAGAACTCGAGCTCCTTGCCCTCGAGAATGTAGCCGTCGGCGCGGCCAGACTGGCCCGGTCGGCTCGAGATGGCGGCGTACAGGCGACCGGCACCGAACTGCTGCTCGACGAGCGGGTCGAGCTTGGCGTCCTTTCGTCGCGCCTCAAACTTCTTGACAACCGAGTTCGACTGCTTGGCAGGGTCCTGGTTGGCCTCGGCGGCACCCTGGCCAGCGGCGCGGCGCTTGGTCGTGACGGGCTTGCCGTAGTGCTTCTCGTAGGCCTGGCGGAACGGCGTGGCGTCAACCTGGACGATGCAGCTCTTGACCAGCGTGTTGGTGCGGACAAGCTCGTTGTTCGAGGCGTTGTAGACGACGCCAAGGATACGCGTCTTGCCAGTGATGTGCTCAGAGCCCCAGGCGAAGTTGCCGCTGCGCGAGGGGAACGGGAAAGAGGCAGGAGGGAAGAGGGAGCGAGGATCGCGTCAGGTCGTCGGTTCCGTGCGGGCAGTCTGATAGAGCCCTCAGGGCAACATGGACAGGACCGGCACCGATGCTCACCTCTCGAGACGCAGGGCACGCTGCTTGACGTTGCCGCCGCGAACACGGACCGAGTGGATCCTCTTGGCGCCGATACGGGTGTTGGCGGGCTGACGGCCGAGCTCGAACTTCCTCTTCTTGCGGTAGTGGGCGCGGCGAGCACCGGAGGCGGACCTCTTGTGACGGGAGTCACGTGTAATACCCATGTTGAACCTGAGAACAGGGTGCGAAGAGGGGGAGAGGAGAGCGAAAGTCAGGGACCTTGTTTCGTGTGCCGGATGGGCGGAACCAGCATGAGCCGTGGATCGCAGGCGAGCGTCGGTCGGATTGGCGCATACACCGGCAGAGCAGCAAGCCGTCGTCGGCGCAGACCAAGAAGCGGTGCGTGGAGAGGTGGATCGAGTAGCAGCAGCGGCAACGGCGCAAGATCGCGGTGTGGTCGACATGGGGGCGGAGGCGGACGATTGAGGGACCTCGGGGAGGTCGTCGTCGAATGCAGTCTGGCCGTGTAGATCGAGTCGACTCGCCCACGTCGTATCGTCGAGCGGCACATCATTGCCGCGATTGACCACTCGGCAGGAAGGGCTCATCCAGCTGACCATCAGCGCAGGACGCCTTCAGCCTAGTCCCCGAAGCATCTTGTGAGGTCCCCAATGCTGCAAGTCTCCCTCGATCGCATAGCATTGACGCCTGCTCTGCCCTGTGACCAATCCATGCTCTGTCCCGTCCCCTCATCGCGCCCATCCTCTGGCCGACTCAGCGATATCCCCCTTTCTACCGGTGGAATTGTCGATCCGTGGACAAGTGCGAGGCGCCAGGTGACGCTGCTGGTCGTGCGAGGTTGATGGTGCACTGTGCCGCCGCTGCTGTGGTTGTCGGTCGGTGCCATCAGAGGACCTGCTGCTGCTCTGCCGGGTGGAACGCTGCGACGCCGGCCGTGGTGCTTTCCACGGCGATGCTGACTTTCTCTGCTGGTGTCGTCGCAGCCGTCTGTCGTGGGCGCGGTGGCGATGTCGATGTGGTGGATGGTGTACAGGTGTGCGCGATGAGAGGCGTGGCCGGCGATGCTTACCTTGAACGTGATGTCTTGAGGGTGTTGGGGAAGGTGACCTTGGTGAGCAGAGAGGAAGGCTACCGACGTCCTCGACGCCCCTTGGCCTGCGCTCGCTCGCGCTGCGCCCAGCTGGGCGGCGCGGCCAGCCTTGGCTGGCCTGGCGGGCTGCCCTCGCCAGCCCTCGCTCCCTATGCCTGGTGGGGCGCTCCGCGTGAGGCCCAGCTGCCGTCTGCCACCGCCTCGCCTCGCCTCCTGGCCTCGACCCCTTGGGCCAAACGGCTGCGGGCCTCGCTCGCCAACGCTGACCCGGGCCCTCGCTGCTGAAGCTGCAAATTTCCACGGCAGGTGCACGTGAGATCAGGCGGGGAGAGGAGCGGGCTGTCCGAAAGTGTCGACGAGCGTGGGAATTTTCGAAGCTGCGCAGAGAACCGTCTCGCGCGAGAAGAAACTTCCGGAGACGCGAAAGCCGGAACGCGGATCTGTCCCACGGCTGCTTGCTGTGGCCCGACCCGGACCCGACCCGTGACTCTGGCGCAGCCAGCTGGATGCCCGCCTGCCCCTTTGCGCGGCTGCCGGCGACATTCCGACGATCCAGGGTCCATTTGGCAGTGCGCAGGCAGGCGGCACCCCTTCGCGGCTCCTTGCCTCGTGCTCGTCGTCTGCTGCTCGCCGTCGACTTGCTCCTCTGTTCTCTGCCGTCCGCTTGCGCAGTTCTCGGTGGCCATGAGACCTTATCAGCAGACGGCCAGACACCGCGACGTCGGCGCTCCAACGGGGCCGAGGAGGCGTTTCGAAGCAGGTGTCGAGCCTCGCGCGACGGGTCGACCGCCCTTGCTCCCATATCCTTGTCTCCTCGCCTGCGCGGCGGCGCCGCTGCGGCCTAGCCTAGTGGCATGCCTCGATATCCTTCGCCTGACGGCAACAGACAGCATCTCTTCCACGTCCTGAGCTTCCGAAAGCTGCTGTCGACCAGGCCGCGGTGCGCGGCTACCCGAGCGTTCCTATCTCGACGAAGCGCCGGCAGGCCAGCTAGGAACGTGGTGGCCTGCCGTTTGCGAAGCGTAGACCGCACCGACGTGCCTGGTGACGACATCCAGACGGACGTTTTGTCGGGCTGCGACTCCTGTCGTGGCGCCAGGGGACTGCCTCTGAAAGGCGATGGCATCATGCCGACAACGACAGAAAGCGCGCGCTAAGCAAGGCTCGAGAGCAAAGACGGACGCGTCCCAGCACCATGTTGCCTGCTGGCCGGCTCTCCAGCGACCCTGGTCGACATCCAAGCAGCGAATGGCGCCTCGACGGGACAGATTCGATGCTGCCACGGTGAGCGATGGAGCGTGTCTTTCGGCGCTCATCGAACATCGCCGTGACCCACGACGGACCGCGACGCTTCTACGCAGGTTCCACAGGGGCAAGCTCACACATACTAGAGCCTTAGGCCGTGCTTGGCCTCATGCGCGGACACAGAGGATTCGGTGGCGACTCGGCGAGTCCACACAGACGCCTTGATCTCTGTCCGATGTCAGTCCACACTCTTTGTCCGTCGGAGTGATGGCGGGCGGTAGCCAGAGTCTTGCGATCGCCCCTCTGCGGGTCCGTCGTGATTGTGCGCTCGTCGAGGGCGTGTTTGCTGCTTGGATCCCTCCCGTTGCATCCCCCCTACAGCCGGCCGGACCCTCTGCGCGGCGCAAGGATGTCAAAGAGTTCTGCATCAAGAGCGAGGTGGGTCTTTCGAAGGCTGCGTCTACAGCAGCATCTCCCCGGCTTGGTTGTGCTCACGACGCTTCGCTGTTCGCTCCCCGGCTGGCCTCTGCGTGCGCCCATTCTCGACGTCTTTGCCAGAGACGCCGAAAGGCCCTACGGGCGACCAAACCACCGGCATGAAAGGCGGCGGATGAGGTGTGCTGCGGGGGGCTGCGCCTGTCAACGCGAGGCGTGGATCCGCGCGCCCCTTTGCCTGCCGATCCTTGCTCGGCTGCAGCGCCAGGCAGCCTAAGGCGTGCGTACCCGACACCTCCTACCGGCCTCCTTTGCGCAGCGCGACGGCATCCCCCTTCGCCGTCGAACCACGCAGCCCCGCAGGCCAGCCCATGCCAGTGCGGCGCGGACAAAGCGCGAGCCCACGGTACGACGGTCGGTCCGCCACAAGCACCCTACTGGGGCTTCCCTTGCCCGCCGTGAAGACGCCCATGAAAGGGACCACCAGCGGCAGCAGCAGCGGCTTCTGCCACGCCAGCGTCGATCCAATCATCGCGATGCGAGGAGTGTCTCTGGCGGACCAGGGGGCTCCCCTTCTGCCCCAAACAGGAACAACGGATGGCAAGCACAGGTACGCTGATGCTGAGGTCGTCGCCGTCGAGGGGACGCCATCGCTCCTCTCGCAGGTGATAGTTGTAACGTCGCAGCCTCGCGATCATCTTGCTTCTCGCCCTCGCCCTCGCCATCACCATAATCGATACCACCTCCTCCTCCACCACCACCACCATCACTACCATCACTATCGTTAAATCGCCCACCCTTGTCCTTGTCCGCTGTCGCGTCACTCGTTATCGCCATCTGGACCGGTGTCGCCATCGCCCGCGCCGACTGTTTGCCCCTCGCGCGCTCTCAATCACACACACTCTCTCTGTCTTTCTCGATCCCACACCAGCAGCCGTGCTAGCACCTCTGACAGCCGTTCATTTCGCCTTTCGAGCGCTTTCGTATCCTTACCAACGGATCCTCGCGCCGCCGCCACCGCCAACCGCCAACCGCCAGCGCCGAATCCCTTTGTGCGCGCGTCAGCCGTTACGTGTCAAGAGCAACCCGCACGCCCCCTCTCCCCCACCCGCACCTCATTGCGGTCCGCACCGCTTGCTAGTGGGGGCTACGTAGAACGCTCTGCGTGCTTGCCCGAGATGCTCTCCCTCAGCTCGGCCCTGGGCCAGATGAAGGCCAACACGATGCAGTTCCTCAGCCCCGCCTCTTCTCCCGAACGCGCATCTGCCGCTCCGCCCAACAGCGGCGTCCGCTCTACCACCACCGACGTCGACCCTCTGATTTCTTCGATACAGGACGACGCGGCCGCCCTCACCCCGCTCCCACGCTCCCAGTCGGCTTCTTCGATCTCGACGTCCACACCGGCTCAGACAGACGTTTGTCGGCCCAGCACCACCACGCCGCGGCGCGCCACGGCACAGCTCACCAAGCTCCAGCAGCGCCTCCTCTACGACTCGGATTCGGACTCGTCGCTCGACATCTCGTTTGACAGCCCCGGGTCTTCGGACAGCCACAGCAGCTGTCGCTCCTCGGGCTCCGACTACAGCGACCCTCCGTCGAGCGCAACGAGCAGCAGCGGTCGCGAATCCTGCCTTTCCAAGGGGCGCACCGACACCGGTAGCGCGAGCGGTGACGCCAAGACTGGCAGCACATCACGCCGGCCCCACCTGAGATCCTCGATCGCGGTGCAGAGGGTGCTCCTCGGCGGCAGGCACGGCACCGACTCGTCTCACTCGGGGCCTTCCTCATCGTCGTCGTCATCGGCCAGCTCATCGGCGCGGTCGAGCTACCGAAAGAGCCGCAGCAGCCAGGGCAGCAGCGCCGCAAAGAAGCACGGGGGCACCTTCCTGGCGGATCCCATTGATTTCCCACTGCCTCCGTCGTCACTCACGGCGCAGACCTCGAGTCGAGACTCGCTGCAGGGCGGCCGCCGCGACAGCAAGCCGAGGACATCCCGTCTCTACCTTTCGTCCTTTGACGAAGACGAGGAGGACGATACCCGCAGCGATCCAGACGCAGCCAGCGACGGTGAGGACGAGCCGGCGCAGGACATGAAGGCCTTCCTCAGAGGGCTGGGCAAGAAGCGGTCGCCTACGACGCTTGGCGGGGAGGGCCGCGGTCGAGGGCAAGTCGGACCGCCCGAGAGGTCTCGGACTGCACTGCCCAGCTTGCCCGCGCCCGTCGAGAGCCCAACGAGCTACAAGTTCCTCGACAGAGATGCGGACAGCGGCCGGCCGCTCGCATCCCGAGAGGGTGGACGGGGAACCGCGACGATGCCGGCAGCAGCAGCGACGACGACGATACGCACCACGTCGCCCTCGCCTGCCCTCTCGTCTTCGGCGACCATCTCGTCGGCGACAGCTTCCGTCTCGACAGCACCGACCTCGCAGCCTCCTTCGCCCACGTACCGCAAGGACCTGCCTGCCTCGCCGTCCGGCAGCACGCTCCACGCATCGCCCTCGTCGTCGTCACTGTCGTCGTCGCTGTCGTCGTCGTCGCTTTCTGCATCCTCGCCGTCATCGCCGCGCGGCAACAAGATCCGACCGCTGCAGACGCTCCGGCAGCGCACGCAAACGGGCACGAGCATGCGCTACCTGCACTCGCAGCAACCGGCGGCCGCCCGGGAAGGGCATGGCGCCTGCGAGGGCGACGACGGCGCGGCGTCGTTTCTCGACCTGTCGACGTCTGCTACGGCGTCATTGAGGGGCTCAGCGACGACGCAGGCCGCGCCGCCCCCCACGCCGCCACCCAGACAGCCTCTGCTGCTACCGCCGGATCTCGAGAGGGACGTCGAGCAGCTCAAAAAGGACGCACGCTCCCTCATCGCGGATATACAGGCGCTCAGCTTCGGCATCGAGACGCGCGACAACGAGTGGGAAAACACCGAGGTCACCTACCGCGGCACCTGGTCCGCCCTCGATGCCTTCTTCTGGCGGTCGTTGGAGTACGACGCCACGTAGTGTCGCGGCCGCGACGGGCGCCGACTGACTGCTTCAGCAGCGGAGACTTGCTTGTCCTGGACGACGAACATCGACTGCTGCGGCAAGGAGTCGGTGCTGCGTGAATTGAGCTTGTTCTTGCAGCCATTTGGGCCGTGCCGCGCCGTGCTTGCTTCAGCGGCTGCTTTGCTTGATCTCATTGATGCTGCGCTAGATCTCAGTGCTGCTATCCTTGACCTCACTGCTGCTATGATTGCACCAGCCGCTGCTGTACTTGCTTCAGCTGTTGCCCTTCTTGCTACAACAACAGTTGCTGCTGCGCTTGGCTTTGCTGCAGCAGTTGCAACACCTCTCATCCGGTCATGGCCTGCAGCGCGCGCAAGGGTACAAAGGCCCTCTGTGGCACAATGGTTGTGCCCTGTCAGCGATGTCACCATGTCCTCCTTGCTTGATGTCAAGAGTGCTGCTTCCAGGCACCTCGAGCAGGGAGCTGATGCATCATGGGCCGGGTGTTGAAGTCCAGCAGCGACTTGGTGTGGCCTCTGCCAATGAGCCCGATCGGCCACAATCAGGGGGGTGCCCCCGATTCACTTGTCAAGCCGTCGCGCTTTGCTGGCGAGCGTCGAGGCACTTTGGCCCGAGTGAGCTGGAACCCCACAAGCCTCGCCCCTCTTGTGTGCGCCAGCGAACCTTCGAGGCTGAAGCAGGCGGGCAGATGCAGATGGGCCCGGCTCAAGCAAGCAGGCACATGAGCGCAGGCACAGCCACGGCGCCGGCGCTCGGCCTGCCTGCGTCTGCCTGCCTGCCACATCACCCTGCGCCTTGTGCCCCCCCGCACCCCTCCAACTCACCACCATCATCGCCACCACCCGAATCCTCCCCTCCCGCCCCGCACAGTCGACTCTGCCTCTGCTCCACCCCTTCACTGGGTCCTGGACAGCCCCATTACGCCCGTACCCTCTGTTATACCCGCCGCTCGCCACATCACCCTTCGGCCTCGCCCGTTTCATCCTTCGCCACCTCTCCGCCTTACCCTCCTCCCACTCTGCCCCTCCTTGGTCGTTGCACCTCCTTGATTCGACCTCGCTCTCGCGTTACGAACCCTCCCTTTCTCCGTCTCCTTCTGTCCTCTCCCTCTTTTCAATCACCGATAGCGCCGCTCGCCGCCATGTCGACCTCGACGACCACTTCCCCACTGCCGCTTCCGCAAGCCTCAACGCTTGGCGGTGCCGCCTCGACGCCCATCGCCGAAGTCAGGACTCAGGCATCGCCGCCCTGCAAACGCAAGGCCCTTTCGCCGCCAGAGGACCCGGCGGGAACCCTCTCGACCTCGGACCGCACCTCACCAGCCCCGTCACGGTCATCCCCTCCGTTCTCCTCTTCGTCTTCCTCGGCCAACGCCACCGCATCGGTCCCGACAACGGCTGCGACTTCCGCCTCGACCACCACCTCGCCGTTCCGGAACAAGCCTACCGACGAGGAGAAGCGCCAGCGCCGCGAGGCTCGCCAGGCCCGAAATCGGCAGTCGGCGCAGAACTCGCGCGAGCGCAAGAAGGTCTATGTCGAGCAGCTCGAGGCCGCCTCGGAAGCCCTGCGCGCCGAGAACGACCGGCTCGTTCAGCAGCTCCAGCATGAACGCCTCGTCTCGTCGGCACTCAAGACCAACGCGCAAGAACAACAGGCCCGGATCGACGCGCTCGAGGCGCTGGTCCGTGAGCTGCTCAAGGCCGGCGGCTACGCCCACCTCTCCTCGATCCTCGCCGCCCTGGCCTCCAGTGCGGCGGCGCCCTCCCTCTCTTCCGCTCCCACCGCCACGACCACGCCTACCGGCGAGGGCAACCTCGCTGTGACTACCCCTTTGGCCGGTCCTGCCACGATTGCAGCGCCGGTCGCGACCGCTCCCACCACGATCCCCACCGTCAGCCCGTCGTCGACGTCGCTCAGTGACTTGGACACTTGCCTCCCTGCAGCGGAGGTGAACTGTTCGGCTGCAGCCTCTCTCGCAAGAGAAGGGCAGCGCCAGCAGTCCCAGCAGCGGGTGTCCTCTCCCCGTCATCGAGTGTCGACAGCGGCAGCGGCGGCGGATCCGGGAGCTGCGTCGCGACCCTCGGCAGCAGCATCGTCAGCAGTTCCGTGCCCGAGGCAAGTCCAGCGAGCGTCGCTCTCTCGGCAGGTCATGTTGTTGTCGGCGAGCAGCGCCAAGAGCAGCCGGGTGTCGCCCCCTGCCGGTCCACCGCGAGCGCCGATCAAGGTGAGATGGACCAGCTCGAGTTCGCCAGCTTCATCGACCTCAAGCAGCTCGGCGGCACCTCCAGCGACGGTGACGCGGCGGTTGAAGCTCAAGCTGCGCATCCCGAGGCGGCTTCCCAGGCGGCTAGCGTATCGGTGCCTAGCCCGGTCGCTCCTGCAGCAGCAGGTACCGCAGGCGGCCGCGTCATGACGGCGGAGCCCGAGACCGAGTCTTCGAGCCTCGAGCTGGAGCAGATGGGCACCTCGCCGGGCTTTGGACTCCTCAACTCGCCCTTTGTCCCGCACAAGAAGAGCGCGGAGGAGACGGCCACCGACGCCCTGCTCGCCGAGATCTACGGCGCGTCGCAGCAGCAGCCGAAGCAGGAGCAGCAAGATGCACACAAGTCGGCCGAGGAGGTACAGATGCTCGAGTCGAGCGACGCCGTCCTCGGCGGTAGCTGGGACAGCGACCAGGCTGCCTGGTCCGCCCAGTCCGACGGCATGGCGTCCCAAGGCGCATCGCCTTTTGACCTGGTCGACCTGGACATCGAGATCGAGGAGCCGGGCATGGCCATCGCCCCGTCGGATCGCCAGGCGTTCCAGCCCACCGCGACCGGTCAGCTGGCCTGGGACACGTTCCTCGGCACGATCGCCGTCTAGGGGCTGTGCCACTCGTCGTCGATCCCGCTCCCTCGTGGTGGGCGTGTACATATCTACCCTCGTCTCTATATCGCCGTTACTGCGCCTCTGTCGGCCCGTCACCTGTACATCTAATCTAGCTCCTCGCTCGCGCCCTCGCTCGTGATCCAGCTCGAATGACACACTCGATGCTCCTCATCCTAGCTTGCCGGGGTTCGAGTGTGCCTGGTTGTTGGTGTCGTGCCCGAAGGCGATGGTCGCGTCGGAACCGAGGTCGAGGACCCTAGGCCTGTCTGTACCCCGAATGCGGGTGGCCGTCGAGGTGCAGCAGCGGCAGAGTGGGTGGACCCTGACGTTTGCCGCCGCTTAGCTTTGCTGCCACGATTTGCTCTCAGCAGCCTGCGTTGGTGCCAGCGCGAAGAGATGGCGGCGGCGACGCACACCTTCTTGCCATCTGCCACCATCTCGTTGTCCCCCGCTCGGTATCGCTTCCCCTGGTCCCGTGGAAATCGACTGCAATTCGACTCGTCGGTGGCAAGTAGGCTGGGAAACAACGTCGACGGCCCGATTCCCAGCGAGGCCATGCGGCACGCCCTGCGAATGGACCGCCTTCGTATCTAGACTCGACTGCGGTACTACCGCGCTGCCGTCCACCCTACATCGCCCGCCGTCTTTTCATCGTTGCATACTTGTCGCTGCTCGACAAAATGACGGCCGTCGCTCATGCCAGCTCCATCGGCGCGGCCTTTGACGCCCTCGGTCTCGACGAGGGCCGATTGGCCGGCGGTCCTCCTCCTCCCACCTTCTTCCAAGCAACGACCGCGTCCAACATACAAGGCCAGGCCGCCATCCCCATCTACATTGCGCCACTGAGGGACCGGATCGTCGAGGCATCCGACCGGCACACGTCGCTCACGCAGCGCCTCGAGGCGCTCGGCGATGTGCCCGCGCGCATGGAGCGGGACAAGGAGGCCCTCTACCAGTGCAGCGGGCGCCTCAGCTCGCTCAGGGCGAGGACAAAGACTTTTGAGAGCGACGACCGCGCTGCCCGCAAGGCCTACAGCGACAAGGTCGGCAACTTTGCCAAGCGCATCATCAACAAGCGTCCGGCCCGAGGCAGGGCGGTGGCGCTGGCCAAGGACCACCACGAGAGGGCGCGCACCGACCTCGAGCAGCACCTCGACCTCATCAGGGCGACCGAGGCGGAGCTGTTGCGCATTCGGGCCGAGGTGAGCATGGAGAGGCGTTGCGAAAGATGATTTGCGAAGAGCGAAGACCGGCTCTGTGACCTCGGACCTTTTCGCTCTGAACTTGCCAACGCCCAGCTATCGGACCTCGAGCTGAAGCAGGTCGAGTATCTGCAGCTCGTCGAAGACCTCGAGCATCTCAACGACAGCCTCTTTGCGGGGCCCACGCCCGAGTTCCCCGAAGAGGATCTGCTGGAATGGGAGCACAACGTCCTCGTCGAGACGGGCCGGCAGCTACAGGCCGAGGCCAACCGGGAGCGGCGGGCCCGGCAGCTCCTCAATCAGGCCTCGCCGAGCCTCACGGCGTGCATCACCGACCTGCGCAAGGCGCTGCAGATCTGCATCGAGCTGGGCGTGGCAAACAACCGCAAGTACTCGCACCAGATGTTTGTCGGCGGATCGACGTCGGCGACGGTCAAGGCGACGACGTCGCTGGTGCTGCGGACCAAGACCAACAGCGGCAAGTTCTACACGACCATTGCCAAGGCCAGGGGAAGCCAGGCGCTCGTCAGGCGCGCACCGGACTTTTCGGTCATCGAGCTACACCTGATGCCCGGTCAGAGGAGCCCGAAGGCCGTCGACGAAAAGGGCCTACACAAGGCCATGGAGGGCTCGTACGCGCAGGCCCGCTTTTGCGAGACCTACCTGCGTGACGAGATCAGCCAGTCGGTCGGCCGGCAGGCTAAGCTCAAGGAGCAGGGTGCGCTCCTCGAGGAGCATATCGCGCAGGCGAGGCGCGAGCTCGATGCCTACCGCAGGCGCATCGTCGTCGCCGTCGCATCGGGCAACGAGGCGGCCCTGCTCGACGACGTCGCAGCGCTCCCGTCGTGCCCGCTTGCGGACCCGCACCAACCCAAGCGCAGCGTCGCATTCTCGGTCGGGGATCTTGGCGCGCGACATACGCCAGGCCCGGTGATCCTGGGCAACGTCATCAACGGAGCCATCCTGCGCGAGACGGTGCTCTCGCACACGCGCCAGCGGTCATTTTCGCTCACGACGACGGGCACCGTCACGCAGCTGGTCGACCTGCGGACCCGCGGCGGCGACGACGACGACGACGACGACGACGAGGCCCAGGTCGGCCGACGAGGCGCCGAGGGCAGCGACGACGACGGCGGCGAGGGTGTCGAACGACAGGTGGCGGTGCAGTCGACAAAGGACCCCAACGTCGCCGCGACCGTGGCCATGTCGGCCGTCACCGACGTCGAGTCGCCCGCCGAGAGGCTGCGGAAGGAGGCCCTGCGGAGGCTGAGAGCGATACTGGCCCGCTCGATCGGAACGCCCGAGATCGAAGAGCTGCCTTCGTACCCCATCTAGACCGCTGCGCCCGGCCGCTCACCGGGATCCGTCGACGCGATCTCCTTGGCCTTGCTGTATCCGTACTTCCTCTGCCCTCCTCTGCCGCTTCACACTCGTCAGTTTCCCATACCGCACTTTTTGTAATTGCCGTTTGCTCTCGTCTCGATTTCGTAATCACGGAGTCGCCGCTCGTAGTCGCTCCTTTGGCATGCTGACCGTCTCCCCCTCAACCGCTTGCTACGTCGGTTCTTGCACTTGCATCCTCGTTGAGCTCGTCTGCTGAAGGCACGGTCACTGTTTGATCTGTCCCGAACGTCGTCGAGGCTGTGCAAGTCGAACCGGTACGGGACCGGCTCGGAAGGCGATATCGGATGTACCACGGCGGTACGTTCGGCAGGGAGGCGTCGATGCTGAGTCTGTGCGGGCCTCTTGGACCGGCCGGCAGCCCTTGGCGCGGCATGGCGGGCCAAGACGTCTCGACGGATCTTGACGGCTTTGGCCGTGATTTGATCGCCGACTCTCGTGGCTGGTAAAGCCGGCGTGCTAGCGTACGGTAGGAGGTGAGTAGCATGACAGACGAGTGATCCAGGGACCTGGGTCCGCTTTAGCCTCGACCTGGCATGGACTGGGGCGGGCGAGACCAGGGAGACGGAGACGCTGGACGCAAGAGGAGGATGTCGTGGGTGCAGATTCGACGCTGCAGAGAGGGGCTCTCGTCTGGAAGCAAGACGTGCGATGGGCCGTTCGGCCATATCCGCGACGCTCCATGGAGACCTCGTCGGGCTGAGCTGCGAGAAGCGCTCGAGAAAGGGCAACGGTACGGAACCTACATACGATCGCAGCAAGGTCAGCATCTCCGTCATGTGATGCTGCTGGTCGTTGCCACGAGGCGGCTTCCAAACGCGGGGGCTCTGCCATGCAACGATTGATAGGAACGCCTGCCCGCGACAAGGATGACTGTGGAGCCGCCCAGCTGGTAATAATTGAGCCTTGGTCGTACGCCGACGAGGGCAGAAAGTGCTACGATGCGACCGGGGGAAGCCAAGAGCCGCTTGGTGCCGTACAGGGTCGGCAGGATGCAGGTCCCTAAGTAGTGTCTCGTTGGGGCCCCACAAATCTCAATCACGACGCCGGGCGGATCGGCTTTCTGGCTAATCGACCGGGGACGAAGTCAGGCGTTGACGAGAGCGACTCTGCATGTCGCTCGAGGGACGACGGGATGGTCGACGCGCTCGCACCTCTGTTCGGGCCGAATTCGGCGATGGCAGGAGAGGTACGCCGAAGGCTGACGTGACGAGCAGGTCAAGTCACGGTGATGGCGAACAGGAGAGCAAGGAAAGGGGGCGACGGGAAGGGCGGACGGATGTCTCCGTCTCGCACCCGCGGGCGGGGCGGGGCGGCGCGGCGAGGCTTGCTTCCTGTCGATGTGTCCGGAAAGCGGAGTGTCGAACTCGGTATAGCCGTAAAGGAGCACCCGATGGACGGTTGTACCGTCGTCACGCACAGTGCGAGGAGAGGAAGAGTACGAAGGACAGGTGTACATTGGCGGTGTCGAGCTGGAGGCAGCGCAGGGAGACGGGCACGGAGCCAGCTATGGACAGGGAGCCCCAGGAAGAAGTGAAGGAAAGCAGGGGCGCGACTACGAGCACTCGGGCGGACTCCGCTCGATGGCGACATCAGAGTCTGGACTCGTCGTCGAGAGCAGTCCGAGCAGGTACGCGGTGTGGTGGCTGTCGTTGCTGTCGGCCAGGATGGTTTATCGCATCTGTATCGTTCTCCGGGCGCTTGGCACGGCATCCGCGTCGACGGGCCTGCCAACGACGGGCCAGCGCGACGGCCCCAAATTTGGCATCAGAATGCCAAGACCAGGGACGTGGCATGAATAATCGCCCGCTCGTGCGCATCTCGCATGAATTCGACCGTCCCGCAGCAGCAGCCGCCTCGGCTATCGCGTACGAGGCGTACGTGGCAGCGCGCGGGATGCGCCTCGGCTAGGCCGCCTGTCCAACCGCTGCCACGCCCCCGCCCCCGCCTGTCGGGAACCGCCTCTCGTGGCGGGCGAGCTACCGGTGGGTACTACTGGACTCGCCCTCGCCCTCGTTCGACGATGGCCCGGGCTGCTCGTCGCCTTGGCTATCGGGATGTCGCGTCTCTGCTCTTGATCGTCAGAGGAGTCCGGCGAGGCGGCAGCGTCCCGCACCCCCGGCCGTGCTCGGGGACGAGCCAAGGGCCGAGACTCTGGGCGGGCACTGGCACTGGCGGCGGCGACGGCGACAGCGACGACGACGGCAAAACCGCAGTGGATCGAATTCGAGGTCCGTCGGGTGTTCGCCGAGGCTCCGCTATTCCTTTTCCGCGAAGGGCATCGGAGGTCAAAGAGGGCGGCATCGGAACACTTCTATGCGACGCCCGCTCGCCCACTGGAGGCGACGCCGAAACGTGCCTCGTGGGTTGTTCCTCGTACGCATTGCAGAGTCGTACCATTGGCTGTGCTCGTGGTCCCTCGCTAGAGCTCAAGCGAGTCTCTTGGCCTTGGCCTCCACGAGACGATGCGGACGGGTAAATGCAGTGCGAGTGGAGCAGGTTCGAGCTACGATACCCGGGCGCCGACCCAAGCAGCGGGTGAGGGGCACAGGCTGCGAGGTCGCCCGTCTCTTCCGCGATAGCAGTGAGGTTGGCTTGGCAGCGCCCTCGAGAACGGCGAGCGCCAAGGACAAGAAACGTGAAGCCTCAGTCACGGAGGCAGTTCGGGACCTGCGTACATTGCCATCAAGGCCACGAGCGTCCTGGTTCGAGATCTTGTTACGGGAGCAACAACGTGGGCCGTCTCGTTCGGCGGCGATGCGGTTCGACGACGGCAGTCGAGCAGACACGGCGACCGGTCGTCGCAGCGTCAGGTTGTTCTGGGTGCGAGCCACCGCTGTTGGAGAGCGAGCGGGTCCTGCAGATGGCTGCGAGGCCCACTGCATGCGACGCGAGAAAAAAGTGTGGGGTAGGGCCCTGTATCAAGCGCGGGGTATCAAGATTGATACCCCACGCATCAGGCTGCAGCCTCGACCCGTGTGCCGTCCCCCTCGTCCATGCTCACGATAAGCCGACGTGGGCTATCGCGGAATTATCCAAGGTGCTGTGGTCGGGCACCCTCGTCGTACGGTCCGAGGAGTCGCCGGGTGCCCGAGACAGCGACGACGACGACGACGACGACGCCGGTCCGCCTCGTCACGCCATGCCTTGCCCCGCCGTGCTTCGCCTTGGCTCGCCCCGCATTGCCACGCCACGCCTCGCCGTGCCATGCCGCACCGCGCTGCGCCATGCACATCCTTGTCTGCCAGCCGTACGTCTTGTGCAGTGCCTGCGCTGCCAAGAGGCCCGCACACCCTCGCTCTGCCGTGCTGTGTGAGCATCGTCGCGAGGCCATGGCGGCGGTCGAGAATTGCGGGGCCCCGCGGCAGGTCCTGTTCTTCTTCGCGTGGCCGCCGCGAGGGATCGTACAGAGCCGCAAAGCTATATAGGTGCGGCGGTCTGTCTCCCAGTCTACTCATTCCTCCATCAAACCCCTCTCCGGCGACCCAGCCGACGACGACCAACGCCCCCCTGCCGCCCTACCCGAAAAAGTTTCGCCCGCCTCGCCGACGCGTCCTGCTCCTTGAACCTCGCCGCGCGCACACCTTACATCGACCTTTACCACTGCAATCGATACCATGGCGTCCCCTCACGCCGGCTCGCCCGACACGGCGTCGATCGAGAAGCGCGATGAGGCCAAGCTCGAGGGCGGCTACGGCATCGCCCCCGTCCTCACCTCGGGTCAGCTTTCGATGGCGCACGACGTCGCGACCACCGTCGCCGACGACCACGAGACAAAGCGGATCGTACGCAAGATGGACTGGCATGTACTGCCCATCTGTTCCGTTCTCTACCTGTTCAGGTGAGTCGATCAAGCCAGGCACTCCACAGCACACAAAAACATCCACGCTGACATTTCCCGATTTTTCCCGAACAGCTTCCTCGACCGCTCCGCCATCGGAAACGCGCGCACCCTCGGTATGAACGCAGAACTCAAGCTGACTGCATCCCAATATGCAGCAGCACTCTCCATCTTCTTCCTCCTATACGGTCTCCTCGAGGTTCCAAGCAATATCTGTCTCAAACGCTACGGAGCGAAGCTCTGGCTGCCCGCGATCGTAATTTGCTGGGGCATCATCATGCTCTGCACCGGGTTTGCGTCCGGATTCGTCTCTCTGTTCGTTCTGAGGCTTCTGTTGGGCGGATTCGAGGCAGGACTGTTCCCCGGCGTCAGTTATCTTCTCACCGTTCTCTATCCTCGCAAAAACATCCAATTACGCGTCGGGATCTTCTTCTCTGCGGCCACAATCGCTGGCGCATTCGGAGGAGCGCTTGCCGCCGGATTCGCGAAGGTTACAACCTCTCAACTTCAAGGATGGTCGTTCATCTTCATCTTCGAGGGCTTGTTGACCATCCTCGTAGGGGTCGTCGCGTACTTTGTACTTTTCGACGACGTCAGCAAGGCCAAGTTCCTCTCGACAAACGAGAAGGTCTATTACGAGGAACGGATTCGGTTTGACGGCTCAGACATCCCAATGAACGACGAGTTCCGGTGGTCCTTCGTCAAGGCGGCCTTTACGGACTGGAAGACGCTCTTTTCGCTGGTGACCTACGTGTCTACCATCGTCCCCCTTTATTCTATCGCGCTCACGTTGCCCGCGATCCTCAAGACGACGCTCAAGTACCCCGCGATCGAGGTGAGTCGCCGGCTACTGCCTGATCGCATTGCCAGAGTGATTCCGAGCTGACCTCCTCGGTCATTGGACACCTCTGCTTCCTCAGAGCAACCTCCTCACCGTGCCGGTCTACACGTTCGCAGCAATGATCGTCATCCTCTTCGCCTTCCTCTCCGACAAGTACCAGAACCGAGCGTTCTTTGTGATCCTCGGTAACATCATGTCGGTGATTGGCTGGACGATCTCTCACATATACCTGGTCAAGAGCCCATGGGTTGCCTACGGAGGTCTTTTCATCGGGGCAGCCGGCGCCTACGGTGAGTCGCGGAACGCGTCTCGCTGCTTCCCCGCTCTGCGCGTCCATCGTCGCTGATTCGTGCTCTCTTCTGCTTCGACCCGAAGGTGGATTCCCCGGTGTCATCGCCGCGCTTACTCAGAACCTCGGCGGCAAGACGAAGCGCTCGGTCTCGATCGCGATCAACGTCGGCGTCGGCGGCTTCGGCGGTCTCGTGTCGAGCAACATCTTCTTCCCCCACGAGTCGCCCCAGTACCCGACGGGCCACTACATCAACATCGGCCTCGCCTCGCTCGGTGCCGTCTCGGCGCTCTGCAACGTCGGACTCATCTACCTGGCCAACCAGGCCAAGCAGCGCAAGATCGACTCGGGCGAGGCCGCCCGCCTGACCAAGGACGAGATTTCGGACATGGGCGACGAGTCGCCCTACTTCAAGTACCGCTACTGAACAAGGATAGGAGGTGTTACGCAGACGATCCCCCCGCCGTCGTAGACCATTCGAGCGTCTCTTCCTGTGTTTCGTCCAGACTGTTCCGCTACGTTTTCGCACGACCCACGTTTCCGACGACCCTGTATCGAGTATGTTCGACGGCCCGTCCTTGCAATCTTCACCCGTAAGAGCCATTTCCGCTACCGTCACGCTCGTTCTCAGCGCCGTGGACGGCGTTGCTCGCATGTTTGCTGTGCTGCGCGCCCTCGCCGTGAACACGACGTCAGGTGCCTCTTCTCTGGATTCTCATGAGCCATCGAACAATTGTACGACTGATGCTGTTCGTTGCCGCCATGCCGCCATGCCGCTCTGGTTGACCTTGGTCTCGCTCCCGGCCCTGCCCTGTTGGTTTGGCTGCCTGTCTTCATAGCCCGCGAAATCTCGCCGATGGCAGGCACCAAAAATCCGGCCCAGTCAAGTGCCCTTCTCAGCACCAAGAATTTGGCCCGGCTATGTACCTGGCTGCCTCCATCTGTGCTAGAATTGTGGCCCAGCCATCTGCCTCCATCAGCATGAACAGTGCAGTTCTTGTCGCTGATAAAGGGCTTCCGCAGCGCGATGTTGCGCGATATGCAAACGGGCAATGCACCTGTGAGCTACACTCGAGATTGGCCTGCTTGATGCAGTGCTGCGATATAAACTCCTCCGCATAATTGTCGTTCCTGCCCTCATGCACCACGGCAAGGCACAAGAGGCGGAAGATTGGCAGCCAACTGATTTGTTCTTTGCCGAAGGGGGGCCAGGAGTTCTTGAGGATGAACTGAAGCTTGCTGGCCCTTTCAATCTGATCAACACTTGGTATGTTGTCAAGAGTGACCACATTGTGCGGACTCATTTGAAGAGCTGGGATGTCAGGTTCCTTGGGGTAGAAAAAATGCAGCCCAGCTCTGGGTCTTTCACACCGTGAGCCTCTCTTCGTGCCGTGTTGAACAGGTAGCGCTCGCAAGTTTGCAGCTTGTAGCCACGTACCGCAAGGTTTGTTACCCCAATACGCAGAGCTGAGATTGTAACCTTCCGGCGGTACTGCTGGCCTTGAGGCCACTGAAATTTCAGCAAAGACAACCTAGCACTGGTTGCTTTGAACACAAGCATTTGTCGCGCGCGGGTCGGCTCTCGGCTCCGAGAGTCGGCTTGCCTGCCCTTTTCAGGCGCGCAGCTCTCCAGCGTCCCTTTCCTTTGCTCCTCATCTATCAACTTGCTCCCTCTCCATCCGCACAGCATTGCATCGACCTCTGCATTGAAGCAGAAGGGTCGATGCAATGCTTGCTGGTCAGCAGTGGACAGCAGGAAGAGCCTGAGGGCGGCAAGCTCTTCAATCACCTGGACTGCAGCTGGCTGGAAGGCCCGCTGCACGCCAAGGATTGTAGCATGTTGCCACCCAAAGTGTTGGACATTATCGCCATGCAGCTCCACCCTGACATCCTGCCAAGTGTTGATGCATGCTTGAAGCGCTTCAAAGTGGGCCTTTGAGAACACTGCTCTGGGAAGCAGCATGTTGTCAAGACCACTGACAGGTATATCCATCATCAGCAAGCACTGTCTGCCAGCATGATGGGCAATAATGACAGCTATGGTGTTGGAGGGATCTTTGAGGATCAGGAGCCTCTTGATATTGTTGTTGAGGGTGAAGTCTTGCAACAGAGTGTCAGGCAGGTGATGCCAAGCATGATGAGCTTGACAAGCACATCAAAGCTTGTTGTCATGAAAGGACTGTTGGATGCCCAAAAGAGTTGGATATATCCAGTTGTGGGCTGGGTGAGGAAAACAATCAGGGGATCCCCCTTGCATACAAAGCCTCAACCTCTGCATTGAAGCAGAACTGATGCAATGCTTGCCAGTCTGCTGCTGTCAGCCCAAAGAGCCAGAGGGCAGCCTGCTTGTTGATCACTTTGACTGCAGCCTGAGGCTGTCCCAGCACACTTTGGGGCTCCAGCCAGGCTAAGGCATTGTTCTGCCCCTTTGTTAGGCGGCTGCCCAACATGCCCCGCGGGTGCCCGAGTCCCGAGGAAGGGCTGACGGACGGCGGAGCCAAGCGACAATTGCCGCAGCCGGTCCCTCGGCCACGAGGGGATCTTGAGGGGGCCAGCATAAAGTCCCTAGGTCCCCAAGGAGGCCCCTGATGGTCTCCTTGTCGAATGTACTATATCCTCTTCTCACTGGAGACTGGTACAGCATCGATATCCTACTCCTCCTCATCCCTGACCTCTCCGCGCAAGCCCTACGCCGTCCTTGGCCGCCCGCGGTATCCCAAGACCCCAAGGGCATAACACCCTTGGCTCTAGGCTAGGCCTTAGGGTCACAGAGGTCCTGCTACCTGGGTCCTGACATCATCATCAGAGTGCACGATTTGCCAACATGATGGGCAATGACAACAGCTTTGGTGTGGGAGGGATTGTTGAGGATCAGGAGCCTCTTGGTATTGTCATTGAAGTCAGAGTCTTGCAGCAGAGTGTTGACATCCCTGTCTGTCAGTCAGATACTCAGAGCTTGCTGAGGTCAATGAGCACATCACGTGCACTGTCCAGGGGAGCTTCATGAACACCCAGAAGAGTCAAGTAACACCAGTCAAAATGCTGCTTGTTGTTCAACATGAGCTCCAACCCCAAGTTCCGCCACTCCTCATGGTAGCTTTCTTGTGAGCCTGCTCTCCAGCTGTCCAATCTGTCGCCGTATCGGAAGGCGTGGGACCTCCAATGGGAGGCCCACAATGCCTGCCAAGGACGATGGCTGTCCTGGCTAGCCAAGACTGGCAAGCTGGAGAGGATGCTGCGGCCTCCCTAAGCAAGGTCTGCCACCCAGGCTGCCACCAGCCTGGGCATGGTGACCTTGCATCTGGGATATCAAGGCACTGGTAAGAGGCAGCTGGTGCATGTCCCTTAGAGGGGTTGCAGAACTCAAGCTCACTGCAACACAGCACCACCAGGGTCATGCTGGCTGGTACATCAAGGATGTCCCTGAAATTTGCTTCAAGCTGTACTGATCAAGTCATCATTCCTTTGGAGCCTCATGCATCCTTCTGCACACTGCTCTCCTAATTGTAGCATGCATAGCAATCATGGTCAAAATGCAGGGGATGATGCTGAATGTGGCTTCCATCACTACTGTCTCTCACAAGTCTGTCTCAAGGCTCACATCACATCTTTGACAACCATGTCTCCTCCTTCTTGACAGACCATGTCTCCTTGCCCTGACAGCCCATCATCTTACTCAACGGAATTGTACCCAGACCTCCTGCAGAGTGGCCTGTGCCTGCATGGCAACAAGCGCCTGTAGGTGTGCTGCAGCCTTGGCACGGGTGGCCGCGCTGTAGTCGCTTGTGCTCAACGACATCAGCACGCCCCTGATACACTGTTGAGTCTGATCGTCACTGTCAACATTGATGCAGCTGTACTGTACATAAGAGAGGCGAGACAGAACCTCCTCACTTCCTCCGCCCGGCTGCTGGACCCTTGGCCTTCTTGCCCTGGATGCCCGCCATGATGCGTTTTACCTCGCCCTCCATGTTCGACGGGTCATAGTACGCCGGCGCGAACTCGAGAAGCCACTCTGGTCGGACCTCGGTGATGGTGCGGATGTACTGCGGTGCGGAGCGGCGGGGCGGGGCCAGAGCGGTCGAGGAGAGGGCGAAGAAAGGTCAGCACACGGTCGAGACGACGCCGGGGGCGGGGCGGGCCGTCGCTGGCTACTCACGTTGCGCGTCGTGAGGACAAACTCGTGGTAGAGGACAAACTCGGGCGTGTGGTCGAGGGTGGTAGACGGGTGGGGCGAGACGAGCTGGTTGTCCTTGATGGTCTGGTAGGTGCCCTTTCCGCCGGACTTGTGGGCGACCTGCATAAAGAAGCCGCAGGCGATGGCCTGGCGGATGTTGGTGTAGTAGCGCTTGTCCTCGAAGGGCGTCGAGACGAGGTCGAGGTCGAAGCGCTCCATGGTCCTCTGTAGCTGGGAGCGGACGTTGTCGGCCTGCATGAGGGCGCGGTAGGAGAGGTAGTTTTGCCAGCACCAGTCGGATGCCGTCTTGTTGTCGGGGCAGTTGGTCTTGTAGGCGTGGTAGACGTTGAGCAGGGTGAGGTGGTCTCCGTCCGGGTGGGCAAACTCGGCGCGGGCGGCGTCGGCCTGCTGCTTTTGCGAGTTGGGGCGGACAAAGACGTTGGGCACCGAGAGCATGGCGGCGATGGTGAGGATCTCGTTGGAGCACTTGAACTCGGGGCTGACGATGAGCATCTTGGCGAGCTGCGGGTCGAGGGGGAACTCGGCCATGATGGTGCCGAGGGGCGTGAGGTTGCCGTCGTCGTCAAAGGCGGCGAGGTAGTTGAGCAGCTCGAGGGCGCGCATGATGGTCTCGGGCGCCGGCGGGTCCATGTAGTCGAAGGTGACGAGGTTGTCGATGCCGAGCTTCTTGAGCTCGAGGACGGTGTTGGCGAGGTTGCTGCGGAGGATCTCGGGGTAGCTCTGCTCGATGAGCTCGTTGGCCCAGTCCTTTTCGGTATAAAGGCGGAAGCACTTGCCCGGCCGGGTGCGTCCGGCGCGTCCGGCGCGCTGCTGGGCCGACGCCTTGGAGATGGGGCTGACGAGGAGCGACTCGACGCGGATGCGCGGGTTGTAGACCTTCTGCTTGCTGAATCCCGGGTCGACGACGTAGACGATGCCGTCGATGGTGAGCGACGTCTCGGCGATGTTGGTGCTGATGACGACCTTGCGGCCGGGCGGGCCGTTGGGCGTGATGCGCTCGGGCGCTGGTTCAAAGATGCGCTGCTGCTGGGCGGGCGGCAGCGACGAGTAGAGCGGGACGACCTTGAGCGGCCCGCAGAGGTCCGGGTTGCTGGCGGCGAGGTCGTCGGCTTCGGCCTTGATCTTTTTGCACGCGTCCTCGATCTCCTCCTCGCCGGTGAGGAAGACGAGGATGTCGCCCTCGTCCTCGGCCTGGTGGATCATGATGACGGTGCGGATGGCGGCCTCGAGGTAGTCGGGCTCCGGCTCGGGCGTGTAGAACGTCTCGACGGGGAACGTGCGGCCGGGCACCTTGAGCAGCGGGGCGTCGTTAAAGTACTTTTGGAACTTGAGCGCGTCGAGAGTGGCGCTCATCACAATCAGCTTGAGGTCGGACCGGCGCTGGACGACCTCCTTGAGCAGGCCCATGAGGATGTCGGTGGCCAGGGTGCGCTCGTGCGCCTCGTCGAGGATGATGGCGCTGTAGCGCTCGAGGTTGTGGTCGTTCATGGCCTCGCGCAGCAGCATACCGTCGGTCATGTACTTGAGGAACGTCGTCCGGCGGTCGGTGGCGTCCTCGAACCGGATCGTGTAGCCGACCTCCTTGCCCAGCGACACGTCCATCTCCTCGGCCACGCGCTTGGCCACGCTCATGGCGGCCACCCTCCTGGGCTGGGTGCAGGCGATCATGCGCGGCGCCAGGATGCCGTCGGCGCCCTTTTCCTTGCGCGTGTGCGGCAGGTCCGAGTAGGCGACAAACTGCGGGATCTGCGTCGTCTTGCCGGAGCCCGTCTCGCCGATCATGACCATGATCTGGTTCTGGTTGAACTTTTCGTAAAACTCGTCCATCTGGGCGTAGACGGGCAGCTCCTTGCGCTTGGCGAGGATGTCGCGGTACTTTTGGCTATAGGGGCGCGGGGTGGCGGCAAAGGGGTTGACGTCGCCCTCCATGACGGCCCTCGCCTGCTTGCCCGTGACCTGTCTCGGGACGAAGCCGGCCAGCGGGTCGGACGAGCTGGCGGCATTTGCGGCGCCGTTGGACGTGAACCGCTCGCTAGGAGGCAGGTGGGCCAGGTAGGGGTTCTCGGTGGGCATGGTGGGCGGCGGGCCGGGTGCTGCGGGCGATGCCGAGGCCGACGATTCACCGTCCATCTTTGTCCTCTTGGAGGGGCGGTTGTCGCCGTTCTTCTGGCTGTCTGCGCCGGCCATGGTCGTAGCGGTGGTGGCGGCGGTGTTGCGGTGTGGAAGGCGGAAGCGGAAAGAGGCGACAGAGGACGGTGGTGGCGACGAGAATGAGGAGGCGAGCCAGCCAGCAGGGTCGAGAAGGTCGGTTGGGCTCAGCTGAGCCCAACCCCTCAACTTTTTCCAAGGGCCTGCCCGCGTCCGACGGTCCAAAACTTTTTGTGGGTGCCGTCAGATCCCAGTGCATCGGGTGAGAAAGATCGGTCAGGCTGACAATCGGGCAGGATGGGCTCGGGCCAGACGGATGAAGGCGGGCGAGCGGGTGGTGCACGCTTTCACGCAGAGCGGAGGCCGGGTCTCGGCCAGGCCAGCTTGCCGTCCATCCGAGGCGGGGCGCAGGCATGGACGCCTGCCTCCTCGTCGATCGGTACCTCGCCGGCGCCCCTCTTGAACTCGCCTGCTTCTTCTCACTCGATTGACTTCCGACTCTTGACTGCTGCCGCACGCTTCTTCCTGACCTCCTCCACCGCCATCAGACATCCGATCTGCAAACGCCTCGACACCACACCACACCACAGCCCACCATGCTTCCCTCGTCTTCGTCCCGGCTCATCCTCCGCTCCGGCGCCATGGCGGCGGCCAGCTCGAGGGCCACGGTCGGTCCGGCCGCTGCCCGCGCCTTTTCCACCTCGATGGTCGCCGACAAGGAGGTCAAGAACGTCACCGTGTGAGTAGCCGCTACCGCCACGCGGCTTCGCATTGCTAGACCTCCCGCTGATGAACCCCTTGACCCTGCCACCGCACTCGAATCGTCCCCCGTCTACACAGCTTCGGCGCCGGCCTGATGGGCGCGGGCATCGCCCAGGTGCTGGCGCACAAGGGCAAGTTCAACGTCACCCTCTCGGACGTCACCGACAAGGCGCTCTCCAACGGCCAGTCGATCATCTCCAAGTCGCTCACCCGCATCGCCAAAAAGGCCATGGCCGATTCGTCGGCCGAGGAGCAGGCCACGTTTGTCCAGGGCATCGTCGACTCGATCAAGGTCACCACTGACCCCGAGGCGGCTGTCCAGGACACTGACCTGGTCATTGAGGCCATCATCGAGAATGTCGGCATCAAAAAGGACCTCTTCGGCTTCCTCGACGGCAAGGCGCCCAAGGACGCCATCTTTGCCAGCAACACGAGCTCCCTCAGCATCACCGACGTCGCCGACGCCGTCGAGCGCAAGGACCGCTTCGGCGGCTTCCACGCCTTCAACCCCGTGCCTCAGATGAAGCTGGTCGAGGTCATTAGGACCACCAAGACCAGCGACGAGACCTACGAGGCCCTGATGGACGTGGCCAAGAGGATGGGCAAGGTGCCCGTCACCTGCGTCGACGCGCCTGGGTAAGTGCAGGGCAGACTTGCGAAGGCCAGTCACGGCGACCGACCAGAGATATCGCTGACCGCATACATGAATCCTCTGCCCGTCTTTGACAAACGGCAGCTTCATTGTCAACCGCCTCCTGGTCCCTTACATGTTTGAGGCGATCCGGCTCGTCGAGCGCGGCGAGGCCTCAATCAAGGACGTCGACACGGCCATGAAGCTCGGCGCTGGATGTGAGCATGGTCCGGGCCTGTTCGTTGCCGCACTTGCGCGCGCGTCGCTGACTTCTGTCTGTCCCCTTTCTGTGCGCCGCGCTCCGCCTGCAGACCCCATGGGACCGTTTGAGCTGGCTGACCTGGTCGGACTCGACACGCTGTCGCACATTGCCAAGGGATGGAGGGACACGCGGGTCAAGACGGGCGAGATCCACGCCGAGGCGGTCAAGGAGTCGAAGCTGCTCGAGGACCTCGTGGCCCAGGGCAAGCTGGGCAAGAAGAGCGGCGAAAAGGGCGGCTTCTACGAGTACCCCGCCGCCAAGAAGTGAGCCGGGGCGGACGTTCACGAGCCGTGCGCGCGGCGCGCAGAACCAGGACGGCACAATCGGTCGGTCCGGGCGCGCCGCGGAGCATGTGTCAGCATACGACTGCCGAATCCGATAGATGTGATCCACGCTCAGCCCATCGGCCAGAGAGTGCGCGGCGGTGGCGTCGGAAGTGCGCCGTCAGTTACAGTCACGGACCGGGGCAGAAAGAGGCAGAGGTGCAAAGAGGGGCGGGCAAAGGCCCGCGCGGGTATATTCGTGATCGCGAATGGCGAGGCGTCGCAGTGGGGAGAGAAACAAGAGACGGGTCGACGCATGGAGGGTCGTGGGCGCGCGGCGCCTTCACTTTGAGCGGTTGTCCCACAGCTTGACGTAGTCGACGCCGAGGTCCTTTGGCATCGGCCCCCAGTCCTTGCGGTTGCGATTCCTGGGTCTACGCTTGATGACCTCCTCGCCGTCGTCCATCATATCATCCTCCTGATCATCTTCGTCACCGTCGTCGTCCACGTCGTCCTCGTGGTGCGAGGCTGTCGCCGCACCTCGCTTGGCTGCATTGGACGCCGTCAGCTGTCCGAACTTGGGCTTGGCGGCCAGCTCGGCATCGCGCCGCTCCTTGACCTTTTGGGATATCCGCTGTGCCGATTTGGATGCCTCCCTGGATGCGCTTGCGGTGACTGCGGCCGCCGTCTTTGCTGCGGCTGCGTCGTTTGTGGAAAAGGCCGAGGAGCGGTGCTTTGCCGCTGGCGAGGCGTGGCTGGACTTTGCGGCCGACTGCTTTTCCTTGAGCGTGGGCTTCTTGTAGAACTTGGCCGACCTTCCCATGACTGCGGTGCTGTAGAGCGGTGGAGCGATGTGGTGTGATGCGGCAAGGGGGAGGCGAAATCGAAGAAGAGGATGAAGGTGGCGGCAGTGATGGTGGTGTGGCAGCGTCAGGTCGTCGTCCAACCACAGGTCCGGGCAAATCCTTGAATTTTTCTGGAACGGGCCGAGGTTGGCTTGAAACGGACGGAGCCGAGGCGTCGCCTGTCCTCCACATCCTGGCGAGCCTAGGCCCGCAACCAGGCAGAGGGCCACGCCAGGCGGACGGACCCTTGCCTGGCCAGGCCGGCCTGCCTTGACCGACTTTACCCGTGGCACGGGGCCTTGGACCTCGATGGCCTGCAGCGAACCCGGCGCAGCTCGACCCTGGCTGGCCTGGCTGCCGCTGGCTGGCTGGCTGGCTGGCTGGCTTCTTTGCGCGCCTCCCCTCTCAACCAACACCGCCACCACCACCAGCATCACCACCATCGCTGACGACGACGCTGCAAAACCCTTAGCCGACCAAAAGACAGGCCACACACGCGGCGACTGCGAGGTCAATTTACGTCCGACTTGGATCGGCGCCAGCCACTCCAGCTTCCCGCCGTCAGACCATCGCCCGACACCCATCGCCCGACACCCATCGCGCAGCCATGGCCGACGCCCCGCTGCCCTCGTCGGCAGCAGCGGCGACGGCATCCTTGATGACCGCTGCCAGCTCAGCTTCACTACTGACCTCGGCAGCGCCCGCGTCGACGGCAATCGGCGACGGCGGCCTCGACCCCCATGGCCGCAATCCCGTCCTAGCCCTCTTTGACGGCGTCCTCGGCGTCGTCCTCGCATCCCTCAACCTCATAAAGGTCCTCGTCACCTTTGCCACCATCACAATACCCAGCGCAGTCTACACCGTCCTCCACTACAGCCTCACCCTCCAGCTCAACTTCCCCTCGCTCGCCCTTCTCTTTCTCGGCTTCCTCATCGCTGGCTTCGTCTGGCTCCGCTATCGCCACCTCAACCGGTACGAGCGCCTCAGGGAGGTGCCCATCATCAAGGACGAGGGCTTCAACCTCCATCCCGACGTCGCTTCGGCCGGCGGAGACGGCGACCGCGGCAGCTTCCACAACTACCTCGACGACTTTCTCCAGGCCATCCGCATCTTTGGCTTCCTCGAAAAGCCCGTCTTCCACGAGCTCGCCCGCCACCTCCAGACGCGAAGGCTCGTCGCTGGAGACAGCCTCTCGCTCGACTCCGACTTCTCCTTCTACATTGTCATCGATGGCCACGTCGAGGTCTACGCGCCCCTACCCTCTGGCACCGCCGCAGCTCAAGAGGCAGACGCCTTCGATGACGACGAGCTCAGCGGCTACCAGCTGCTCAACGAGGTCGAGAGCGGCGGAACCCTCAGCAGCCTCTTTACCATCCTCAGCCTCTTTACCGAGGACGTCAAGCTCGGCTTCGGCGACGAGGCCGACCAGCAGCAGGCCGAGGTGGGCATCAGCCGCCCGCCAGGCCAGAATGGCCCTGGCTCGGTGCGCGGCGGCTCGGTCGAGATGGACAGGTTGTCGAGCGCCGGACACTCGCGACGATCGGCGCCGCTGCACCCTCAACGAGCTGCGGATGCCGTCGCTAGTCCCGGTCTCGCACCCGGATCCCCGCAGCCATCGGCCTTCAACCAAATTCCTCAGGGCGCCCAGCTTCAGCTCAATGCGGCAGCCCTGCGCAACGTGCCCAGCGCCGTGGGCGCCGACGCCGCGGCTGAGCGGCTTGTGTCGCCCAACTTTCGAGCCACCGCGCCGAGCCTCGCCCGCTCGCACGTGCGGACCAACTCGTCTTCGGCGGGCTCGGTCACCATCGACGGCAACAACAGCACCATTGTCGGATCGGAGCACGGCGACGAGCACGCAGGCAGCGGGCTAGGCCCAGCCCCGGACCTCCAGATGCCTCCGGCTCAGGCCACCGCTCCGTTCCCGCATTTCGCTCCAGGTAGCGGCGGCGTACGCACTCCCGGCACCCCGCACTCGATGGCGGGCAGCGCGGCGCACCTGTCGCGCCAGGGCCTGGGCTACCTGCAACACGACGGCCACCCGACCACGCCCGGGTCCGTCTTTAGCGCAGTCGGCAGCGTCCCTGAACCGGGCAGGCCGAGCCACTCGATGCCGCGCGAGGGTGCCGGTACCGTGGCCCGCGCCACCGTCGACACCACGCTGGCCGTCATCCCTGCCGAGGCCTTCAAGCGGCTCACCAAGAAGTTTCCGAATGCCGCTGCTCACATCGTCCAGGTGATTCTCGCCCGCCTCTCTCGCGTCACCTTCCACACAGCGCACAAGTACCTCGGCCTTACCAAGGAGGTCATGAGGACGGAGAAGTCGATCAACGAGTTCGCCTGCTTCCCGCTGCCAACCGAGTTTTACGAAAAGGGCGGCATGGAGAAGCTGAGGCACCGCTTCCTACCCGAGCTTAGGCGGCACCGCCGCGACTCGACGGCCGACGATGACTATTTCCGCAATTTCGAAGCCTGGCCCCAGCGGGCCTCGACTAGGACGCCCAAGCCCGACTCGCCCACGTCGAGCCGCAAGTCGGCGCGGTTCGACGACGAGACGCCCGTGGTCATCAACGACGAGCCCGGGGCCGCCTCGCAACGTCCGTCGATGGGCAGCGAGCAAGGGTCGTTCTGGCAGCAGCAGCCCACCAAGACGCCGTGGGGTCATCCGGATCCGCCTCTCCGCACTCCGATGGCGCGTTCCGCCGTCGGCCCGGGCGACCTGCTGTCCATGACGGGTGCTGGCGACGAAGGGTGGCGTTTCGGCTCGACGCCGCTCGCCTCTGCACAGCCCACCCCTCGCAACAAGCCGAGACCGGCGTCTCGGATCGACCCGATCGCCGAGCACCCGGCGACGAGCCCAACATCGCCGACCGGCCTCGACGGCCGGCTGCGTCGGGGGAGCGGGGCGTTTGGCAGCGGCGACGACAACCTCTTCCACGGCATCGGCCTCGCCGACTTTGACCTCAAGACCGAGGTCATGGACTGCATCGCCAAGAGCATCGGCCTGGCGCAGGCGGCGCCCAGCCCGCTCACCAGCTACCAGGCGAGCCCCCACATCGGCGCCCAGGACGCGCTGCTGCAACGAAGCGTCTTCAAGTCGGCCTTCAGCTCCCTCAGCATGCTCGATGCCGCCATGGGCGTCGAGGAGGACAGCATGACGGGCACCGCCAGCTCCATCGTCGGCGGCCACCCGAACGCCTTCCACCATACCGACTTTGAGAACGAGATCGAGATCAAGTTTTTCAGTGCCGGCGACACGCTGGCCAGCGCCGGCGAGAGCAAGGCCGGCCTGTTTTTCGTCATCGACGGCTTCCTCGACATTCTCCTGCCCAAGCAGGACGAGCTCGAGGACTCGGACAGCGAAGATGAGCGCCCAGCCCGGAAGAGGCCCGCAGCGGCAGGCAAGGGTCCCAAGGGCGATGACAAGAGGCAGCGCAGCGGGACCGCAGATGCCACCAGCGCTGGCGGTGCTGCTGCCGGCGGCATCCCAGACTCTGCCGGCATCGACGACGACGAAGACTTGGAGCGTCCCCAGCCGAGGCAGAGGCGGAGCGCGGGTCAGAAGGCGTCCTACATGGAGCGGGCCGACTCGGAGGATGGCGGCCGCGTCAAGACGCTCAACCCGTCGGAAGCCGATCGCTTCAACATCGAACTGAGCGGCAACGGCCCGTCTCGCTCGTCGCTCACGTCTTCCGACCGGAAGCGCACGAGCCGCGACCTGTCGCAGGCCTTCAACCGCAGCGGCTCCAACCTCGGCACTCTGCGGCTGCCGATCGGGTCGGACAAGGTCGGCAACGCTCTCGACGGCACCGCCGGCAAGCCCACACCGCGCGTTCAGCGGCCTGGCGCAGCAGGCAAGGCCTCACAGCGACTTGCTCCTCCGATGGACCGCACCGGATCTCGCTCGAGCAGCCACCGATCCGGCAGCCACCGCGATCGCGGCACGGCATCGCCCGACCGCCGCGGCTCAGGCGAGCCCAAGGCGCTCTTCACCGTCGGGCGAGGAGGCATCGCCGGCTACCTATCGAGTCTGCTCGGGGCTGCCAGCTACGTCGACATCAAGGCCAAGACGGACGTCTACATCGGCTTCCTGCCGGCGCACGCGCTCGAACGCATGATGGAGAAGAAGCCGATCGTCCTCCTGACGCTGTGCAAGCGTCTGCTGAGCCTGCTGTCGCCGCTGATCCTGCACATCGACTCGTCGCTCGACTGGCAGCAGGTCGATGCGGGCCAGGTCATCTATCGCGAAGGCGACCGCGCCGATAGCCTCTACATTGTCATCAATGGTCGGCTGCGCGCCATCACCGAACGCGAGGACGGCGGCGCCGGCGTCGAGGTGCTCAGCGAGTACGGCCAGGGCGACAGCGTCGGCGAGCTGGACGTCATCACCAACTCGAGGAGGCGCAAGACGCTGCACGCCATCCGCGACACTGAGCTGGCCAAAATGCCCTCGACGCTGTTCAATGCCATCTCTGTGCGCCACCCGGCCATCACCATCCAGATCTCGAGAATCATTGCGCGGCGGGTGCGCACCGAGCTCCGCCAGAGCCAGCGCAGCGCGGCCCGCCTCACCGCGCCGGTCCCCGGCCTGCCGGACCTGGGCAAGAACAACTCGAACCTCAAGACGGTGGCCATCGTGCCCGTGACGCGGCAGGTGCCGATCCGCGACTTTGCGGCGCGGCTGCAGGCGGCGTTTGAGGACACCATCGGGGGGCCGACGGCGTTCCTCAACCAAAGCAGCGTCATGGGCGTGCTCGGCCGACACGCCTTTAGCCGCATGGGCAAGCTGAAACTAGCCGGCTGGCTGGCCGACCAGGAGCAGAAGTACCGACTCGTTATCTACGTCGTCGATACGCCGGTGTCGTCGGCCTGGTCGCAGACGAGTATCCGGCAGGCGGACTGCGTCTTGCTGGTTGGGTTCGGCGACGACCCGACGATGGGCGAGTACGAGCGGCTGCTGCTCGGGCTCAAGACGACGGCGCGCAAGGAGCTGGTGCTGCTGCATCCGGAGCGCAGCGTGCCGCCGGGCTCTACGCGCGAGTGGCTCAAGACGCGGCCCTGGGTGCACGCCCACTTCCACGTCGAGATGCCGGGCATCTCGCGCAGCCACGCGCACGCGGTGCCCGTGGATCCCAAGGCGGTCAAGGCGCTGCGCAACCTCAAGCAGAAGCTCGAGACGCGGATCCGGCGCTACAAGGACCGGCGCAATGCGCCCTTTGCCACCGCTGGCCGGCCGCACCACGCTTCCGACTTTGCGCGCCTGGCTCGCCGGCTGTGCGGCAAGAGCATCGGCCTGGTGCTGGGCGGCGGAGGCGCGCGAGGCTGCGCGCACCTCGGCGTGCTCAAGGCGCTCGAGGAGCGCGGGATCCCGATCGACATGGTGGGCGGCACGTCGATCGGCAGCCTGGTTGGCGGGCTGTACGCGCGGGAGGCCGAGCTGGTGTCGAGCATCGGGCGCGTCAAGCGGTTCGCCGGGCGGCTCGCGAGCCTGTGGCGCATGGCGAGCGACCTGACGTACCCGGTCGTGTCGTACACGACGGGCCACGAGTTCAACCGGGGCGTCTTCAAGGCGATCCAGGAGACGCACATCGAGGACATGTGGCTGCCGTTTTTCTGCAACACGACCAACATTACGTGGAGCCGGATGGAGGTGCACACGACGGGGTACGCCTGGCGGTACATCCGGGGCAGCATGACGCTGGCGGGCCTGCTGCCCCCGCTGGTCGACGAGGGCAACATGCTGGTCGACGGCGGGTACATGGACAACCTGCCCGTCTCTGTCATGATGGCCATGGGTGCGCGCCACGTGTTTGCCGTCGACGTGGGGTCGATTGACGACACGTCACCGCGCTTCTACGGCGACACGCTGAGCGGGTGGTGGGTGCTCATCAACCGCTGGAACCCGTGGAGCGACGCGCGCAACATCCCCAACATCCCCGACATCCAGGGGCGGCTGACGTACGTGTCGAGCGTCAAGACGCTCGAGGATGCCAAGAAGATCAAGGGCTGCTTCTACCTGCGCATGCCCGTCGAGGGGTTCGGCACGCTCGAGTTTGGCAAGTTTGACGACATCAGCAAAAAGGGCTACGACGCGGCGCGCACCATGCTCGACGAGTGGGAGCGCGAGGGCCGGCTGCCGAGCGGCGTCGAAAAGGAGGTCGAGATGGACGCCGGCCGCCGGAGGAGAAAGGGCGGCATCAGTGCGCGCAGGAACAGCATCTAGGCTCGCGGCGTGCGACGCAAGGTCGAAGGGAAGCAGAACGTCTCGTCGTCTATGAAGATCTAGAAATCGAGAGCGCGGAGCCATCGTGGCTCGCCGGTTGCAAAGAGACGAGGTTCCGGAGACAGGGGCTGGTTTGCGTGCGGGCAGTCGTAGTGAGCTAGTGGCGACGACGGTCCTCGTCGATGGGGCCTTCTTGACGCGGCGACGATGCGATGTGGCACCCGATGCCATGAGGCCGGAGGACAATCGGAACAAACAATGGGCGAAGGGCGTGGAGAGCATGCAAGATGGCCGTTGTGCCGGCGGCGGGGCGGGCGCAGACGTCTGGAAGGAAACAAAAAGGGGGCCGGCCCGCGTGCCCGCGTGCCCGCGTGGGGCCGTGCCCTGTGCCAGCGCAGACCCCAACGCAACGTGCCGAAGCCAGCGAGGTGGGCTTCGGAAGCCAGCCGAGGCCAGGCCAGGCAGGCCAGCCAGCACATCGGCACCACGTCGAAGTGGGGGGGGGGCGGGAGGCAGAAGAGCGGGCGGCGAAGGCCCGACGTTGTCTCTCTCTCTCTCCGGCTTGGCTTGGCCTGGCTTGGCCTTGGCCTGGCTCGCCTTGGATCGACCTCGCTGGCTGCTCATCCCGACCTGCACTTCTACCACGCAACCTCAACTCCTGCTTCTATCTATCTGCCGCCGTTTCTCGACGCCCTGCTGCTCCTTCTCGCACCACTGCATCCAGCCAGCCCCGGCACTCGTACTGGCGCAAAACACCACGGACGAACGGACGGACAGACGGACAGACTCGCAGGCTCGAGTTCGACCTAGCAGCACCACCACGCTAGGACATGGGTGCCGCATGCTGTGCCGGCTCGGCGCTGGCGGGCGGTGGCGCAGCAGGCTCGGCCGGGGGGTTGACGTCGCCCGACAACATCCTCGTCCTCCCCCTCGCCATGTACGAGCTGGCTCCGCGCGCCACCGTCTTCCTCTTCACTGCGCTCCTCCTCTCTGGGAGCCTGGTGAGTGTCGGGCTGCAGACACTCCCCGCTGTCGCAGCGTCAACTTCTGACTTCCCAGCCCGCTCACCCTCTTCGTACCGGGACCCTCGCAGGGGTATATCCTCCTCGTCGCACTCACCCCCGAGTCGGTACCACCCACCAAGACCGAGCTGAGCTACCTCTCGACCTCGAGCCCGTCCCGCGCCCAGCCGCTCCCCTCGATCCGCGACGCAGCCACGGTGCAGCTCAGCGTCGTCGTACCGGCGTACAACGAGCGGGACCGTCTGCCGGGCATGCTGCGGGACGCCGTCCAGTGGCTCGAACGGGTGCGCCAGCAGCGCAGATCGCTCGTCCAGGGACCCGAGGAGGCCGCCGCGTCAGATGACCTCGTCGGAAGCAGCGGTCAGCGCAGCGCGGCGTCGGTTGACGAGGAGGCGGCGCTCACCGATCCTCTGACCACGTACGAGATCATCGTCGTCGATGATGGGAGCAAGGACGGCACGCTCGACGTCGCACTCGAGACGGCGGGCCAGCTCGGCCTCGCAGAGGGGGCAGAGGTGCGCGCGGTGCGCTTGGAGAGGAACAGGGGCAAGGGCGGCGCGGTGCGACATGTGAGTCCAACCTGACGTGCTCCACCCCCCTGCCTCTCGCTAGAGGGCGACAATCAGACTGACCCGCCACTTCATCCTTTCCGTGCTCGTGCTATCCGGACGGACACGCACAGGGAGTTCTGCACGCGCGCGGATCCCTCATCCTCTTTGCCGACGCCGACGGCGCGACGAGGTTCGGCGACCTGTCGAACCTGTGCGTCGAGATGCGCCGCATCCTCACGCCGGCCCGGCACGGCATCGTCGTCGGCAGCCGTGCCCATATGGTCAAGAGCGAGGCCGTGGTCAAGGTGAGAGCCGACGAGTCCCAGGCAGGCCGCTCCGCTGCGCGCATTGTGGTGCCGCCTCCCGTGCCCGTGCCCGTGCCCCTCCCGCCCCTTCCCGTCCCGTCTTCTGTGTTGGACGCCCTGACAAACCCCATGTCCTTTTCTATTCTTTCATGCTCCTTCTGCCGCCGCCGCCGCCGCTGCATCAGCGTTCCTTTGTCCGGAACCTGCTCATGCACCTCTTCCACATCTTCCTCACGCTTCTCCTCCATCCACCCTCACCACGCCTGCCCTCGTGGCCCGCGTCCCTTTTCCAACGACGAACCACCACCACCAACCCACGCTGCACCGACGAAGACGACGGCGGCAAGGGGACGACGACGACGACGACGGTGGTCAAGCGGCGACTCGCGCGCCAGCCGCCGATCCAGGATACCCAGTGCGGCTTCAAGCTGTTTACGCGCGCCTCGTCGCGCCTCGTCTTCCCACTGTGCCACATTGACCGGTGGATCTTTGACGTCGAGATCCTCGTCCTTGCCGACCTGGCTTGCCGCTCCTCGTCCCGGTCGATCCGATCCTGCAGGACGACGTCGACCCCGTCGCAGCCGCCGGCGCAACAACAAGGACGAGGACGACGCCGGAACGGCGACGACGACGACGACGACGACAGTGAGGATGTTCTCCTCGACCTCGCCCTGCCCGTGGCAGAGGTCGCCGTCGACTGGCGCGAGATTGGCGGCAGCAAAATCGACCTCGTCAAGGATTCGATCGGCATGGCACTCGACCTCCTCGTCATCCGTGCAAACTACGCACTGGGTCGGTGGGAGGCGCCCGTCATGCCCTAGCCCGCCCTCGTCTGGCCCAGCGGATTGCTCTCGCTTGCTCGGCGTTGCATCGCCTGCCCTGCCCTGCAATCTCGACCTCATCACGACGGCAGACCACCTACCTGCCTCGCCTCGCGGGCATCGCAGCCCATTCTAGCCTCTGCGATGGGGCCTACGTTCTCATTCAGGCTTGCATTGCATTGCACAGCACTTCGTTTCAGTCTCGTGTCCGGAATCGTTCGCAGCCAGCCGGCCGCGCGCGCGCGCGCCCTGCGGGCTCAGGCGAGCGCGCCCATGGGGTCGTAGGGCGGCAGGACGATGGTCTCGCCCTCGACGATGCCGCGCTCAAAGAGGGCCCAGAGCCGCTTTGGCATAAAGCGGCGGTCGGTGACGACCTGGTAGGCAAACTGGGCAAACCAGGCATGGGTCATGACCATGTAACCCTTTTCGCCGACGTCTTGGTCGCCCCAAGAGTTTTCGACGCGGTAGCGGACGGCGCGGCCGTCGTCGTCGACGTGGACGGCCGTGATGGTCATGGCGTGCGTCATTGCGCTCTCGCCGAGCTCGATGCGCTGCGCCTTGGACAGGCCCAGCTTGACGTTGAACGCCAGCTCGTAGTCGTACAGCGCCGGGTCCATGATGCCCGACGGCGTGTGGGAAAACTGGCCGACGTCGCAGCCGAAAAACACGGGCGCGCCCGCCTTGATGCTGGCGATGACGGCGCGCGACATGTCGTCGATCGAGGTGTTGACGTACTTGATCGGGTTGCCGCCGTAGACGTTGTTGAGGCGGTCGACGGTGATGAGGCGCTCCTCGTCGTGGCGCGGGTCGTTGACCAGCGAGCACATCGACGTGTGGTCGAATCCGGCGGCGTAGTCGCGCAGGAACGACTTGGGCGTCGCGCGCACCGAGTGGTACTTTTTCCCCTTGTCGCGGTAGCTGAACGTGAACTCGTCGTCGGGCCTGGGCGGAGCGCCGAGCGCGATGGCGAGCATGCGGTAGATTTCCTCCATCTGCTCGTCCTTGCGCTGCCGCTGCGCCGTCACGACCGCCGCCCGCTTGGCCTCGGCCGAGAGCGACGTGGTGCGGTCCAGCCGCCGCCGCACGTCGTCGTGGATGGCGCGCAGCTCGAGCGTGTACTCGCGCAGCTTGACGGTGCACAGCCAGTTGATCTTGCTCGAGTCGGAAGAGTTGAACGACTCGGGGAAGACGGACTGCGGCACCACGCCGTACTTTGTCAGCAGGTTGGCCACCATGTCCTGCCGTCGGCCGAGGTGAGCAGCAAGGGCAGGGCAGGGCAGGGCAGGGCAGGGCAGGGCAGGGCAGGGCAGGGCAGGGCAGGGCAGGGCAGGGCAGGGCAGGGCAGGGAAGGACGGGGCGAAGAGGGGGTCAACAGCTGGTCACAGCAAGCAAGCACGGGAAGCGTCCACCCGGCTCAGTTTCGGCCCAACTCACCCACTGTCCTCCGTCGTTTGTGGGCGCCGAGAGGAGCGAGTTGACGACGCGGTCGTCGAGGGGCTGGTCGGCGAGTTCAATCATGTTTTCGAGAAAGTAGTTGCTCTTTTCGAGCTTGTCGTAGAAGCTGAGGTACGACTGGCTGAGCTCGATGCTGTCGAGGTCGAGCTTCTGCGCGACGCGGTTGCGGATGAGGTTGGTGGTGGCAAAGAGCCAGCATCGGCCGCTGCGGTGCTGGTTGGTGACCTTTGCGCACTCAAAGGGGATGGCGTGGCTAAAGACGTGCTGGTCCGCCACCTCTGCCGAGCGGCGGCGGACCGAGGCTGGGATCGAGGCGTTGTGCAGCGTGAGCGCGGCGAGGCGCGATGTGGGCGCGCTAAAGGCGACGTCGTTCCACTGCTTGACTGCACCGAGGCTGATGGCGGCCTCTGCGCGGTTCGACGACGGCGACGAAGAAGAAGACGACGACGACGAGGGTTCGGCCCAGCGGCTGGAGCGGTGCGAGGCCTCTGCGTGGATGCGTGCCAGGCGGTCGGCGGCGTGGTGGCTGCGGGACGGCGTCGCCTCGACGTGGCTGCTGACCACCTGCACCGTCACGGGCGTCTTTTCGGTGTTGTACTGCTGCGACGACGACGAGGTCGAGACGGGCTTGGAGGCTGCGGAACCCATGGTGGTGCTGGCTGGCGAGAGGGCAGGGAAGGGGGAGGAGGGTGTGAAGGGCTCTAGGTAGATGGAGCGGCGTCAACTGGGGGGGTCAGGTGGGTGATGGAGGGCGTCTGTCTATATAGGCGGCGGGTTGTGATGGCGCAGTGTGGGGTAGAGAGGAGAGGGAGGAGAGGGCAGGCAGGTGAGAGAGGGAAAGCGAGAGGGGCGAGGGGAGCGAGTCACGCTCCAGGGCCAAGCGGGGGGCATGGTGGGGGCGTCGGCCTATCGTGGTCCGAGGGTCCCTCGCCCTCGCCCTCGCCCTCGCCCTCGCCTTATCGGCCAGCCAGCCATGGCAGGTCAGGCGCAGCGCAGCGCAGAGCCAGCCTCGGCCCCACCCCGCCGCCCCGCCGCCGGCGCCTTTTGAATCTTGAATGCCGTTGCCGCCGGGGCCACCCACAGCCTCCTCCACATTTCTCGCATGGCCATGGCCCACCGGGCCCACGACGCTTCCAGCTGCCCACGCCATCAACGCCTTCCCCCGTGGAACCTCGCCCATCCACCACCTGCACCGACGGCAGACGACGTACTTCGGATCAAGAATCGAGCATCGCTTTTGGGTGGGTTGCTGCTTATCTACAATACAAGTCACAAGATGCCAGCACGAGCGCACCGGGGAAAGGGAGGACCCAAGGAGGCGCAACGAGGATGACTTTGCGCTGCGGCGACTAGCGACGGCGCAGGCCGATGCTGTTGAAACATGGCGCCTTGGTTGGCGATCATTCCTGCACCGCTGCCCCGCCCCCCTAGGTCAGCAGGCGGGTAAGGATGTTGGCCGGCGTTTTCGAGATGCGGTCGTAGATTTCGCGCACGTCCGACTCGGACACGCCCGAAATGTCGGCCATGAGGTACGCCACGTCCTTGCGGCTGTCCGAGTGCTGCTTGTCGACGTTAAACGAGCCAAGGATGTCGTTGACGGCACGCAGCGAGCCCGGCTGGTTCTGGTGCACGTAGCAGATCCGGATCACGCGCGAGTCGGCCTCGGTAATGGCGCGCAGGTCCACCTCGGGGAAGTTGACGGCGCCCACGCTGCCGCCAAAGTTGATGTACCGCGTCAGCGCCTCGCCCACCTCGATGCCAATCATCCGCTGCGCCTCCTCGGTCGAGCCGCCAATGTGCGGCGTCAGCATCACGTTGGCCTGCTGGCACAGCTCCTCGGCCCACGGGTTGAGCTCCTTGCTGAAAGTGCCCGGCCCCGACGCCGCGGGCTCCTTGGGGAACACGTCGACCGCCGCGCCGGCAACGTGGCCCGACTTGAGGCCCTCGAGCAGCGCCGGGATGTCGACGACGGTGCCCCGCGCGTTGTTGAGCAGGTACGAGCCCTTTTTCATGGCCTGGATCTGCTTGGTGCTGATCATGTTCTTGGTCTCGGGCAGCTCGGGGACGTGGAGCGACACAAAGTCCGACATGCCCATCAGCTCCTCGAGGCTGGCAATCTGCTGCGCGCTTCCGAGCGGCATCAGCGGGACGACGTCGTAGTAGACGACGCGCATGCCCATGGCCTCGGCGAGCACCGACAGCTGCGAGCCAATGTGGCCGTAGCCGACGATGCCGAGCGTCTTGCCGCGGATCTCGTAGCACCCCTTGGACACCTTGTTCCACGTGCCGGCGCGCATCTCGTTGACGCGGTCGGCCAGCTGCCTCGAGAGCGAAATCATCTCGCCAATGACGAGCTCGGCCACCGAGCGCGAGTTGGCAAACGGCGAGTTGAAGACGGCGATGCCTGCCTTGGCCGCGGCGGGCAGGTCGACCTGGTTGGTGCCGATGCAGAAGCATCCGACGACGAGCAGCTGCGGCAGGGGCGGAGGGGCGAAGGGCCGAAGGGTGGAGAAGCAAGGAACCGGGAGGTGAGACGGAGGCAAACAGACCGTTTCGGATCAGCGGGGTGCGCGTACGGTGCGCCAAGGGCCGGTCACGGACTCAACGCACCTTGTGAGCGGCGCGGAAGACTCTCTGTGTGAGCTTGGTCTTTGAGCGGATACCGATGGCGTGGTAGTTTCCGATTTTCTCGACCAGCTCGTCCTCGCTCCAGGCCTTTGTGTGGAAGTCGACCTGGTAGCCCTGCTCCTTGAGCATCTTTACAGCGCCCTGGCTGACGTTTTCGAGGAGGAGGACGCGGATGTCGCCCGTGTCAAAGGGGGTGAGGACCTTTGGCATCGAGAGGGGCGCCGATGCCGAGGCGGCGCGGGCGCGGGGCGGCGAAAAAGACGTGGGAGGGGAGCCGGCCGAGTGGATGGCGGTGCCGTTGGAGAGGATCTGGCCGCCCTGCTGCGCCGCCATCATGGCGCTAAAGGAGCCGGCGTGGGCCGGCGGCGAGAAGCCGGCGCGATGGAAGGCCTGGCCGTGGGTCTCGCTCATGATGCTCGGTGTGGTGTGGGGTGTTGCGTGTGTGGGGATGGGGCGCGAATGTGGGCGATGCGGTGCTGGCGTCGGTAGGGGTGGTTGTAGTGGTGGTGGTGGTGGTGCGGTCGAGAGATGGAGGCAGGCAAGGCAAGGCAAGGCAAGGCGAGGATGGCTGAGTAGTGTGTGCCTGTGGGTTGGCGAAATGAAGCAGCGCCCGCCAGCTCGACTTCTTCTCGACCTGGG